TTATACACTCGATAATATCTACACAGTCAGTGGCAACATCACTTATTCCAATTGTCATTCTACTAAGGTTGAATTATATTATAAAATATTTAGTATAAATAGCATTTAATAGTCTTTTGTTTTGTGTCACACAGAAGCCTTTGAGTAAAAGTGATCCAAAAAAAATCCATCAATAAAGTGCTGCAAATGTTGCTGGTCTGTTTACAAGAGTTGGAACCCGTAGAGTTTTTCTCATCGCTACTCTTACCATTATAAATGGTCAGGTCGGATGCAATGATATAGTGGCATGAGACATTCTTGACTTGTTTGATCCTATAACAATCAAGCCAACTCTTCGGTTAGTTACATCGGCTTCCTGATCATTACAGTCGTGAAACAACAGTTGTTTTTTGTTTTTTTTTTAATTTTGATATGCTATTTTGTCTCTTAGTATCTTATTAGTGAACGGACAGCTTCACAGAACTACAATTCTATATCAGCTCTACACATTCGTTAGCTTTTCGTCTGATTCACGGTACTGGTTGGAATACTTTCGAAAAAGTTAAATTTTTAAGAGAGTGCCCACGAAAACACCACTCAAGAGCCGGTTCACGAAAAAATATTACTTTTGTGAAATGAGTTTACTACTTTGAAAGAGCATAAAATATTACTCAGGAATATAAATTTTTTGCAAATTTTAGACAATATCTTCTAATACTTTGATGATATAAGAGCTTTGATCCAAAGTATCGATCTGTCAAAAAGTGTGACTTTTCGATCATTTTTTGTATATGGAGTTTTTCATCATAAAAATTCGACTAAAACCTTTATCAAAGTATACCAATCGATACAGCGGAAGCTGTTCTACACAGCTCTATATTTTATGTGCGTCATTAATTACCTTGAAAAACGAAAAACTTATCATAATAGTATTGTATAACCACATTAGAAACAATTCAAGAATAGTGAATAGTTTACCAATTACTTTAAGCTATTCTGTACTCTCAAACTATTCCTTTTATTTATTTTGCAGAATTTCTTAAATGATGTTTCGTAGAAAGTCACTTGTGTCACATTTATTAGGTGACATTTTCTACCATGTAACGAACAGACGCAGGTAAATTCTTGCTTCTATTATTCGTTTCAAAATATAATGTGCTCCACTGTTGTTTGAATAACTTTGTATAGGAACATTGTAGAGACCTGCGGTTTTCGCCATTCGAGAGAGGACATCGGGGGACATCGAAACATGTTCGAAATTTGATTGACCAGCTAATAGCCAATCAGATAAGTTGTAGATGAAACTTTTGTGAACGATATTCCAAAGTGATTTCTATTTTAATTTTGAGTTGCTATATAGCCACTCGATAGAGAAAATTGTTCTCTTTCGATCTGCGCAAGGCCCAACTCTCTACATTGTTCCGTTTATGAGTTATAGGCGTTTTCCTGAGACCTCCTAAATCAGCCAAAGGACCTCGGACCAAGCCGATATGAGTCAGAACAGACGTAATCGACCACACTGAGTCCAATGGCGACGTTGGCTTTTAGTTTTGAAGTCATCTGAAGCTGCTAGGCCAGGATTTTCAAATTTTGTTTTTTTGTTATCCCAACTATTGAGTGTCATTATAAAAGATTGCTGACCTAGTAGCTTCGGATGACTTCGAAACTAAAAACCAACATCGCCATTAGACTCAGCGTGGTCTATTACCTCTGTTCTGACTCCTATCGGCTTGGTCCGAGGTCCTTTGGCTGATTTCCGGGGTCTCAGGAAAACGCCTATAACTCATAAACGGAACAATGTAGAGAGCTGGGCCTTGCGCAGATCGAAAGAGAGTAATTTTCTCTATCGAGTGGTTATATTGCAAGTCAAAATCAAAATAGAAACCACTTTGGAATATCGTTCACAAAAGTTTCACCTACAACTTATCTGATTGGCTAATAGCTGACCAATCAAATTTCGAATATGTTTCGATGCCCCCGATGTTCTCTCTCGAATGGCGAAAACCGCAGGTCTCTACAATGTTTCTATGAAAAGTTATTCAAAAAACAGTGGAGCACATTATATTTTGAAACGGATAATACATACAATACTTCTAATCTGGGTAAAAGTCAAGTTACGGTACGGTTTCAAAGTCGTACTCTAAATAGTATACTTATCTAGTTAAGCTTCAAAAGAGTTCTACTAGAAATGTATTATTCACAACCGGATTCTGATATGAAAAGTCTATCACGAAGTTTTTCTTTGCACTGGACTGCAATACAAAAAGAAAGCTTTAGGAAAAGTTGATTGTCAAGTGAGTTTCTAGAAAATAAGGATTTTACTGCTCTCGTTTTCTTTTCTTCCAGCTCCACCATCGATTATTTGCGTGAGTAGTACCAGTGCAATAATCAATAACAATCAATTTATCTATTCACCAACTTCCCAAACATATGCAGCTGGTATGTTAAACAATCAATTTGGTATCTATATAACAGACGGCTATGGGAGCGTCACTTCGACATCAATTTGGACCGCACCTCAGACCTCAACAGCCGGCACATGCTTTCTTGCATTACAAACAGACCGTAATCTGGTTGTTTATCAAGTGGGTATTTCTTACGTGTGGACACCTTTTACCCAGAATGGCGGTGTTGGAAATCCATTCTGCTTGCAAATACTAGATTCAGGAAATTTGATATGGACTGATAATTCTGGGGCAATTATTTGGCAGTCAAATAGTGCACAAGTTGGATAGTATCTTCCTATTTTCTATATATGGAAATGAACCTAGTGAACTTAAATTGAATCTTCAATGACTTTCTGTTGACGGACAGTAACAAAACAATGTGATGATGGAATTTTTTTCTTGTTTATGACTTTCTCTTGGTTCTTCCGCTATGCTTTTTTTAAAATTTAGCAAACTGATTTATATATTCACATACTTTGAAACATCTTTTGAACTTTTTTTTGCGAGATGGCGCAGGACGATTTCTCAGTCAATCATGAAATTTTAAGAAATACGTATGCATCACTTATCATAGCAAGACTAGTAGCTGCCTAATTCGAGTTCGAAAATAAGCCCAGTTTTCAAAATGTTGCCAGCACTAACATAGTCAAAAACAAAAATAAAATCTTATCTCAATTTTAATTATAATCTGAATAAAGGCACTCATGTTAAAACGAGCAAAATAGCGAATGGTAGACTTTGATTTGAACTATAATTATGCTTCGAAATAAGAATTCTTATGTGATGACAGTCAAAGTATAAACAAAAACGTTAGGTGTGAGTATGAATGTGATTGAAGACATTACTGATACCCACTGTAATATGTAGCCCTAGCGAAACCCCTAAATGGTTCCGTTCCAGATCCTTGAAGAAAGTATGTAGTCATAGAATTTTAAGATCCCGTCAAGATTTAATCAGGATACTATGCGATTTATAGCTATTTTTGATTTAGGAAACGTTCACCAAACTATAAGTTGCTGAAAGAAGCATGTAATCACGAAGTAGGAAAGACTTTAGCAGGATTTGAAACAAGATCTTTGAAGATTTGTGAGCAGTTTTCTATCTATTGCTTTTGGATCCTACCAAGATTTCAATGATTCCGAATTGAGAAAAGATTTCTCTTTACATCCTGCAGGATTTTCTAAAGAAAACAGAAAACAAATGAACAAGTAGAGTATTGAGCTCTGGACAATTAGTTGATCCGATAAATTATTTTAACTGTGAATATTTTGTCTTTGTCATTAGTTATCTGTTTATATCTTTAACAATATCAATGTATTACATGGCTAATCATAATGGTCGAAGTAGAATAGAGTCAAAGTTTTACTTGTTTCAGTCATATAGTTGTCTGCGTGACAATTGTTAAAAGAACATAGGTTTGAGATTTATCTTTCATTAAACAATTGATTTATTTGAATTATTATCAGGGTAACATTACGCGTAGAGTTATGTAACGATTTGAAAGTCTTTTGTTCAATAACATAAAAATGAAATCGTATCTTCTCTTTTCCATTCTTCATTTTCTAATAAAAAAAATGTTGATTTTTCTTAACACATTCATATGATCATTCTTGAATAGTTCTTAAGAATAATAAGTCCAAGTGTGAATAATATTCACCACCTAAATGTAATCGAAGAAGTCTATTATAGAATACTTGTGATATATGTTATTAATGATTGCTCTAATTATAAAAATGTTGTTCAAATACATGAAATTTAACAAACTATTTTAACACGAAAACATTCAAGAAAACAAAACGATTTTCTTTTATTTAGATGATATTTAATAGTTCTATTTGTTTTGAAAAATAGATTTATTTTATGGCATAATGAAAATAACGAGACTCTTTTCAAATTTTCACTAATTATTTCAATAAAGAAAATATTACCTGATTTTTTTCTTGACATATATATATATATATATGCTGAGTTACTTTAGAAATCCTGAAAAGCTCAGCCTGATAGACCTATGATCCGCTGGGTTATTATTGAATATCAAGCGTTACCGATGTTGCACAGAAAAGGGCAACGATTTCCATTAAAAAATACTACAAGTTCAAACAGTATTTTTGAAAACTAAAAAGTGTTTTTTTGTAGAGGATCTTTCCGATCACAAAATCTCTGCTTAAAATTTTTTTCTGAACACGCTCAGATTTTTTGAAAAAGTTGAGTTTATTTGTTGGTAGCGACGTCATTAATTAAATACGAATATAGAAACAAAAACTCTTCGTGTAACTAATTTTCATCATACAAATGATATATAAAAAGAATCATTTCAAATACGCTATTTCTTTTCTAATTTTATTCACCTGGTATATTCTATTTTAAACATCAAAAATAAGTTCTATTTTTGTTAATATTTACGATTGACGAAAACAAAATATGGCGTATAGCGCACTTGTATTTAGATTCCTTCAATTTTTGTACTGCTCTTTAGTAGTAAATTGGTCACAAAACCATTTTACGCTGCATATATATATATATATATGTCCATTTTCATCACTTATTGCAGATCAGTTACTGTCGACAAATATCATGTCTTCGTTTTCAATTGCTATTTTACTATTGATGATCATTTCATTGATCAGTGCTGCAAAAGTTTGCCCTGGCTATGGACATATACATGAACCAAAAAACTGTACATCAACATGTTCAATGATTAATGATCAATGCCCTCAAGGAAAAAAATGTTGTTATCTTAAGACAAAACCATGTGGTTTTCATTGTGTTATACCTAAAGATAATATCGAAAAATTGGGCAAATGCCCAACTTTACCAACTGATGATCCATTAGGGTCTGTATGTGATGGACACTTTTGCGATGTCGACAATGATTGTAAAGGTGTTAAAAAGTGTTGTTCAAATTCATGCCATTCTCAAGTATGTTTGACACCACAATTATTCAAACAAAATATTTATTAAAAAAAAATACATACATTATTAATCTAAACTCATAAAATTCTTTTAACAAACGTCTGTAGATTTCTACCCAATAAATATCAAAAATAAAATACCAGATCTTTTCATTATAAGAATTTATTGTTCTCATTTCTTTAGAAACTTACGATATCTTCTAAGTTCTGAAGAGAAAATTATCAAAATTTGCCATACTTGCATCAATTTGATTGCCGCAGAATGGTGAAAATCAAAAAAGTTTTTTGAAAAATTTTGAAAATTTCAGAAATTACATTATTTTGAGAAGTATCAAATATGACATTACTATTGTTACTAAACAGTTAAAATTCAATAGTAAGACCCTTAAGGAAAGTTCAAATGCGTCGTAGTTTGCTTGACTAACACTCACATCAACATTTTAAATAGAATAAAAATAATTATACTTAATGCAACAAACAGCAATCAATTTCAATCAAGTAGCAATCAATGACCATTAAATAGAAATCAATGGTAATGAAGGCAATATAGGCAATGAAAAAGAAAATATGCATAAATTGTCTGACAAAGAATATGCGCAATAAATAGTTGAAGCTTCAACAATTTTCAAAAGTTAGTACGGTGTGTATATGCATGTGTAGATATTTTTCTTTAGTTTTTCTCGTCTAGTTTGACGTTTTAGTAGAAAACAGGAAAAAAAATGTACTTGATATATTAGTATGGATAGTGCTTTTTTAGAATAATTTAAATTATTAATCCTTAAATAGACAAAAATATAAATATTCAAACTTCTTTTATTTGAAATTTTAGTACGAAAGGTGTATTAGTAGTCCTCTCCATAATAGAAGCATCCTGTAGGATATTTAAATATGTCGACATTGTACAATAGCCTGGGGCTTATATTATGACGATGGGATAGAACAATTCGAAACTGGTCGTCACTCTATTTATTGAGAAAAATAACTGCATTGCTACAACGTCGTCAGTCTATTCATAAATCAAAAAAATTTGTGCTGTCGAATTCTTTACAATCATCGAAGTAAAAAAAACTTGTGACTTTTTAATATGGTTTCTTTTTTAGACTACTGAAAGTGAAGACTTGTGTAATTTTACTATTTCCTACGTTTGAAACATGGGAAAGGTCCATAAGTCACAAGTCTATTATCAAATAAGGTGCAGAATGTTACATTTCATCACTGGATTCAATAATATGATTTAAATAAGAAGAACTAAAAATGAGTGGGCCAAACAACTAGCTAATTAACATAAGAAGAGCAACTGAATTCTTTAGTAAAACTTTATTACGAATACTAGCTGAAGATTTCAGAAAGAAATACTATCGAAAACGATGTTCTGCATAGATTAAGTGGAATTTCAAGAATAATGTTCATTGACGACAAAGCATGGATCGAAAATGTTATTTCGATAAGAACAACGATGTTGTGGAGACTAACAATGAGTCAAACATATATAAGAATAGTGACATACAGACAGAGCAACTTCGATTATATTATTACTGTATGTAGCGATGCATTTTAATATACGTAATTAACCTGATTTAATAATATGTTTATGATTTGTCAAGTATTTTAGACATTTCGATAGGGAAAAATAGTAAAATCACGCAAATTCTCACTTTTAACCATCTAGGAGAATATGAGAATAAGTCAAAAAAATTTTTAATTCAATTCTTGCCGAGAATTGTACGATGTATCTTCAAGAAAAAATATAAGATTTTTATGATTTGTCTTTGCTTACATATTTACAAAATAAACTATATTAAAACTTCAGATATATTTGATAATAACTCTATCATTCTGAGATTTATATCAGAGTGTTGTTGCAAGAAACATAACATTCGATGAAAACTATTGGTCAGTGATTGAACTTATGAAAAACATAAAGTTGCAGAACATATGCTAAGTGATTGTTAATTCGAAAATGATTATAATTTGAATTCATTGAAAAATTTTACATGGGAATGAATCAGTACAAGTATTTTCTGAAGGCTATTGATAAAAATAAAAATTAGCATTAGTGGAAAAACTACAATATTTTATCAAAAAACAATTAAATTAGAAAAGAATTTAGGAAGTTATGACGGTTGTTTGAAACAATTGTATAAGATTTAGCGAAATCATGAAAATGAACTATGATAAATGACACATATTATTTTGTAGAGAATCAGTTTCTGTGAAACGTGAAAGTTGAATTCAATTATTAAATTCTTCACTTCTAGTATTCAAGTATTTCATATTCATTAATTCAAGTCAACATTTGCATCAATTTAATTTCATGATTTTGATAGAAAATCATTTTCATTTTATTTTCTTGATTCAAATGTTCATTTTAATCAATGAATATGAAATCTATCAATTTGTATGTTCGTTTTATCATTCAAAATGCCTTTCTTTCTTGTTTTTAATATCAAATTCATAAAATTTATGCAATTTTTTCCATTATTTAATTCCATGGAATGTGTGCGTGTCCTGTGGTGATACCGGCATCAACAAAGAAGTGTATGAATATTTCCCCAACATCCACTATTTTTTTAGAATCACAAGCCCTATCAAGTTTGGTAGGACTCTATGATAACTATTCGCAAATATCTTGACCAGATGTTGTCAGAAAAAAAAACAAGACATTGAGACGAAGATCTCACGATTCGGAGTAAGGAATGTACAGAGTTCCTTTCGCAATTTTTTTGTTGACTCTGTCTATGCAACTCGCTTTGTCACTCACTACACATATGTACGTCGAAGAAGCGTACTCATGATAGCAGCAACAACATTATACTGTCTTTTTTTTTTCGTTCGTTCGCTCTTTTCTTCATTCGTTGCGGATGAGTGCCTTTCTGCTCTCTCATTCTTTGCATATGAGTGTGTTTGATAGAAAGATGAGGGAGTCCGTAAGTAACAAAGAAAAAAGAAAGAACATGCCACAACGAGAGAAAAGAGTGGAGAAAAACAAAGTAGCACGTATTATAAATAAATAATACAGCTCTTCTCTGAATAGCATTCATTCGATCGCAATATCATTTCGACAACTACACACGTCATGAACCAACAACAAACAACAGTTAACTGCTGTACTGACGAGAAAAAATCTGAAACATTTCTTAGTCCTTCTAAGGATACAACTACTACTTCTTCCTATGCTGTACCATCTGTGACGACTAACACTAGACGACGTATTGTACAAAATTTTTTTCTCATCTGGCTAGATGCTAACATTGACGAAAACAACAAGAATTGTCAGAATTCAATAGCTCACTTACGACGCATTGTAAATACTATATATACATTCCGTGATGCTGATCGATGCATCGATTTTCTCGCTCAGATCAAAGACGAAAAAGCTTTTATAATTGTCTCTGGTTCTCTTGGAGAAAAGATAGTACCACTCATTCACAATATGTCACAACTCGATTCCATCTATGTTTTCTGTCACAACAAATTCTATCATAGAGTATGGGCGAAAGAGTGGCCGAAAATAAAGCATGTTTTCCGTAGTATTGATCCACTTTGCCAATTATTATTACAAGATGTACGACAATGTGATCAAGATTCCATTTCAATAAGTTTTGCCTCGACAAGTAATGTCTGTAACGCAACCAATCAAAATCTGAATGCACTTGATCAATCTTTCATGTACACCCAACTATTCAAAGAAATTCTACTGGAAATCAATGAGGATGATGCAAAATCGATTACAGAATTGGCCGCCTACTGTCGGGTCCCGTTTATTGATAATCCTGATGAGTTGAAAAAAATCGAACAGTTCGAACGTGAATACCATCTTCACACGCCCATTTGGTGGTACACTTGCGAGTGTTTCCTCTATCGAATGTTAAACCGGGCTCTGCGCACTCTAGAAGTGGATACCATACTCAAAATGGACTTCTTCATCCGCGATCTTCACCGGCACATCGAACAACTGTACTCAGAACAATCGAGCCAGACCCAAGCATCATTTAGTGTCTACCGGGGTCAGGGTTTGCCTAAAGTAGCTTTCGAGGAAATGATGCAGTCAAGAGGAGGACTCATGTCGTTCAACAATTTCTTGTCCACCAGTAAAAAACGAAACGTTTCCATCAAATTTGCTAAAGATGCTCTAAGAAATCCTGACTTGATTGGCATTCTCTTCAAAATGACTATCGATCCAACGGTCTCCTCTTCGGCTCCTTTTGCTCTCTTAGACAATATCAGTTATTTACCGAATGAAGAGGAGATTCTCTTCTCGACGCACACTGTCTTTCGCATTGATGAGATCCAACAAATCGGGAATAACGACCGATTGTGGCTGGTGGAGCTCACCCTCACGAATGACAACGACCCACAACTCGCCAATCTCACCGTACGAATGCGAGAGGAAACTTTTGAAGGATCCAATGCCAAGTACAGATTGGGTGAACTGTTGATTAATCTAAGCAAATTAGATAAAGCCGAAGAAGTTTACAAGTTGTTACTCGAACAGAAACCCAATGACGTTGAGAAAGCTCATCTCTATCACCAGCTTGGACGAATCAAAGACGAACAGGGTGAATACCAAGAGGCGATTTCATTCTACGAAAAAGCACTTGAGATAGATCAAATAACTCTCCCTCCGAACGATCCCGACTTAGCTGATACCTACAACAACATTGGTATGGTGCATGACAGCATGGGCAAGTACCCGGAAGCGCTTTCATTTCTTGAAAAAGCACTTGAAATGCGCAAAAAAACTCTTCCTTCGAACCATACCGCTATAGCTGCTTCCTACAACGATATCGGTTTGGTCTATAACAATATGGACGAGTACTCGAAAGCACTTTCGTTTCACAAAAAAGCAACTGAAATACGAGAAGTAATTCTTCCTGCGAATCATCCCGAGTTGGCAACATCCTACAACAACATCGGTGAAGTATATACAAAAATGGAGAAGTACTCGAGAGCTCTGTCGTATTTCGAACAAGCGCTTGAAATACGTAAAAAAATTCTTCCTTCAGATCATCCTGATTTGGCTGAATCCTACAATAATATCGGTGAAACTTATGATGAGATGGGAGAGTACTCGATGGCACTTTCATTCTATGAACGCACTGTTGAAATTGGACAAAGTTCACTACCGCCAAATCATCCTCGTCTTCAAGAGTATAAAAGGAATATTGAGTCGGTGAGAAAGAAATTATAATTAACTTGTTGTGACGATGATGAATGTGTAACGCATCGGTCCCGCGATCTCGTCTGTTTTAATCCTGAAAATTGAGGCAACATGTTAATACGCTAATCTTCTATTTAATTTTCATTTGATACAACTATTTTTGCGGCGAGTCGGAATGGAGTTGAACGTGTCCGAGAGGTTGCATGCAGGGTGTGAAAATAGTTGTCAGAATTGCTTTCACCTACACCAGCATTCTCGTTATCTTCCTACCAGATAATCTTGAGAGAGATGTGTTATAATTACATAATTCTCGGATTCATACTGTTTGTTTTGCTAATGACAGAATATTTCCGAGTGTCAAGCGTTATTTCAAATTGGATAACACCAGTTTATCGAGTTTGATGAGACTATTGAGTTATTGTGTGCGGGTGAGTAAAAATAACTGGCTGAAGGTGAAGAGAAGACTCAAAAACACAGCCATTCACCCACTAAAAAAGTATAGACAAGCGCAGTAGTATGTGGTATCGTTTGGAACAAAAATGAGATTGAACGTCATCGATGTATATTTGATATCTCTATCTCTTATTCAGCAAGCTATTTCTAATTTGTATATCACAATCACAACAGCGAAGAAATATTTTTCATAACGACTGATTCATTTCTCTTTTCATGTTACTAACCGAGTTGATTTAGATACCTGTTTCACATACAAAAATAAAGAATCGTCATTTTTCAAACGTCTGTAAGATGGGTGTGGGTAAAAAGAAGAAGACTCACACCTATGCACATCCAGAATAGAGATTAGAATGCAACGATCCGTTTGGTTTTCAACTTGTCGTGGTGAATCTCAAGTATCCAATTTTGCTTTAACCTTCTTCACTACGTGTCATGCTAATATATAGGATCTTCTTCCAATGGTCTAGCATCTGTTATTTCCGATGAAATAGGAATTAGATATATTGAACAATGCATTGAGCTAGAACAACGACTACATGTGTTCTTCGACCATTTGGCATATTACTCAATTCTAGCCGTTCAGCTGATTAATTATTCAACAACTCAGACGATTCAGTCTGCACAAGCGGTGAACTGCCCGAACTTGATGCTCGACCTCAAATGTAGCGATGACTCGATCAAATGAGTGAAATCACACAAGTATTTAGACTACTGGATAACGACAAAACTTGGCTGGCAACAAATCATTTGTCATATTCAAATTCAAATTCTACAACAAATAACTACAGTTAACTCGATTATATTTGGAGGGTTAACATTTATTACGCTTTGCCGATTTCTATTCTTAACATTCGTAATATCTCTTCTCACATGGTTTAATGTACTCTATCCTGTATTCAGTCGCTCTTTGTCAATTATCTTTTATCATCATAATTCATCTTCTGTATTATGTTTTACTCTTGGTTTATCTTTCTTTTTGCTGGTATTTTAAATATCACTCTAACAGATACACTTGTGATTAAGTAGTTATTCCATTAGGACCATTAAGATTAGAAGTGAAACATAGCAAATAAATAAAAGTAAACACAAATGTCTAAAATTTTTGTTTTTAGAAATGTAAACACTGGTGAAAATTTTTTAGTATAAGTCTTGCAGAATTAACTTTTGAAATGTAATAGAGCTGCTTTTATTGTAGACGAGAATAAATTAAGCTTTTCAGTAAATGACATTTTCTCATAAAATAGAAGAAAATAGTATTGTTTCATAATAATTCAAAGACATCACATACGACTGAAACACTCTGTAAAATCAATACAAAATAAAGGATAATATTATCAAATGTATGAATGCTATTTCTTGGCACTTCAATGATGCATATATTAATGAAAGAAAATTACTCTTTGTAAATTGGTTCATATTAAAATTGTAAAATCGGATTAAGCGACCTATTCAGAAAAAAAGTTTTAGATGTAGTGGGAAGCTCAGCCTCCTGATCATATCAATAGAGTGGGTTCAATCCCCATTGTGAGCAGAACTCAAACGTTGAGAGAACGACAGAAGAGTTATAGAAGCCTTCTATGCAGGCTTAGCCTCATTTAACCCCCGTTATTTTTCACCACGAATCAGACTAATTGATTTTCTTTATGCTGAAATAGAAAATCACAACAATTAAAATGTTCTTTAAGAGTTTAATTCAAAAAAAAATGATTCAACGCTTTTCTGAATTATACATGAAACAATAATATATATATATGCACAACTAATAGAAAACCAATTTTACGTTTATATGTTTAAGCCATATTTTCAATTTCACCTAAAAATATGAAATTAAAAAAAAAAATTAGAATCATATCAAATATGTTAACATACGAGCAAGAGGCTTAAAGCCAAGTGTTCTGATTATTCTAGCTAAACATGGAATATCAGCTCGTGTTTGATTTAAAGCCCAATGTTCTAAACTTCTTAAACATCTTTCATGTTTTGATGGATATTGTTGTTCAATATGTTGAATAACTTCATTCGTTAACATTAATTCTCTTGCTAATTGTTTCCATATTCGAACACATTCATCTCGTTGACAAATACGAATAAATGGTGCTCGAAATAATTTTAATTGTTCTAAAGAAAACAAAGAACAAAAGATACATAAATTTCATGATTTTTTGTTTTTTTGAGCTTTTTCATTTTGTTTTACCATCTTTTGAAAATGTTCCTTGTTCCGAACGTTTATCATCTTTAATTGATTGCAAATCTTGAGCTAAATCCCATCGATTTATATTTGTTAAAGCATGAATTAATAATAAAACTTTATCTGATGAACGTGGTACACGTTTAAGCCATGCAAGTAACATATAATATGGAGCATCCTCATGATAATCACGTTCAACAGCTTCAATACGTATACGTGTCATTCCTAAACGGCGTGCTAATCGACGCCATTCATCACCAACTAAACTTGCTGACATATCACGAAAGAGTGTTGGTGTTAAGACTCCTAAAATGAAAAGATTAATAAATAAATAATTAATTAAAAGTGATGATGTGTTTTGTTTACCTTCACCAGTAAATGTTGTCAAACTTTTTTGTATAGGTGGTCGAATTTCTGTAGGTGGTTTTGGTAAAGTAACAAGTAATTCAGCAAGACAAATATCAGTTTCCTGCCATTCTTGTTTGACCTTTAGAAAAAGAAAAAGAAAATATCATTTAAATACAAATTTTATTAAGGTTTCAATGTTCTTTATTATTTGTTTGATTTGTAATCATATTCAAATGAGTTTTTTTTTTTACAATAGAATAAATTTCATGAAGAATTCTTCAAATTATTTCTAGTAAAAAAAAAGAATAAGATATTTTTCTTTTTACAATACTTACAATATCTGATTGTTGTTTTTTCTTATCAATTTCTTTCATTGCATTTCGTAAAAATTTTTGTTTAGAAAATATTTGTATAAATCCATAAAAATATGATGATAAATGTTGAGAATATTTATCTATTTCAGATACATTTGTTTCAAAATAAAATGGAAAATATGTATTAAATGCAAATTGAACTGATTGTTGATCATTATTCTTCGGTATAATATTACCACGAAAACGTAATTCTAATATTTGTCCTTCTTCTAAAATAATTTCTTTTACTTGTTCATTTTCAGTTGAATAATTTTCTTGTTGAATTTCATTTTCAACAATATCTGCACGTTGACCTGAACAACATACAAGACATATTTCATTTGGATTTGTTAAACGACGACGAAGAAATAATGTAGCAGATCGTTGATTAAGTGTTTGTTCAAGTAAACAAATAGTTGTTGGTAATTGTTTTAGTGACATTAATTGTTTATCACATCGTGCAACTATTATTCGACTATGTAAATATTGTATATCAGTTGTAATTATATCATGTGTTTTCGAATCAATAAGTTGAATATCTGTATCAATATGCCATGTATTATCGTTAGAACCCGAATAAAGAAGAACAAGTCGTTCATTACTTAAATCTTTTAAAGAGAAAAAATTTTGTTTTAAAATTAAAGAAGAATTTGTTTTTTTTTTTTTTTCTGTTTTCAACTAACCTTCACCAAGCATTGATTTAAAAATTAATTGTTGTTGCTGAGCAATCATTTCTTGTTGAGATGGTTGACTAATTGTAGGTTGTGGGAGAATATTTGATTCATCGTTTGTTGTTGGTATTGTTTTTGGTGGTATTGGTTTCTTTTTGGGTTGTATTAATATTGGTAATGTAAATTGAATTGGTTTCAATAAATTGATTTCATCAAAATTAAGTTCAATAATTGGTCCAACAGCTAATAAACCTTGACATTCATGTGAAAAATGTTGTGAAAATTGTGCAAATGTTGGTAAATCAACAGGTTGAACACAAATATCAATAGAAAAATCATTTTGTGAAACATCTTTTGGCCAATGAAGTGTAAAACGTGGATCAGCATTTGATACATATCGACCAGATAATTGTTTTTGTATTAATATTGTATCATGTTTTAAACGTGACACTACTGCACATATGGAAGATTCATTTAATTTACATTCAACAAAACGTTTTTCCTAGAAATCAAAAATGAAAAGAAAATTTTTTTAATAAAAATAAGAAAAAATGTTTTTTTTTTTCTATGAACTTTATGTAAATCGAAGTTTGATTCATTAGTTTCAGTAGATATCCATACACCATTCGATTGACGAATTTTAATAACATTTTCACGATGAGATGATCGTTTAAAAATAAATGGAATAGCAAGTATTATGAATTTCTGATCATTTGTCTATAATTAAAAGAAATATAAAAGAAATATAAAAGAAAAATTATCAAATCAATAATACAGTTAAATCAAATTTAATATTTATTGGTGTACTAATAAGTTCTTCTTGACTATCAAGTAAATTTTCTGTTTCAGGAACAGTTAGATATTTGACATTAATTGGCATTGAAGAAGCATTAGACGAAGTTCGTATAATACATGGTGGATATTGATTATCATTCATGAACCTTTATAAAAAAAAAAAATAATAATAAAATTATATGTTTGATTGACTGAAAAACTTACTCTCGTACAGACCAATGAGCATATTCATCTTCATGTGAATGATTTTTTGTCATTGCTAATAAACGTTCTTGTTCTTGTTGTTTTTGTTGAAGTTCCTAAAAACAAAAATAAGATTTTATTATTTATAGAATGAAAATATTTTCTATATTTTTCTAGCCATTCATACTTTCAATCGTTGTCGTTCTTCTTCTAATCGTGCACGTCTTTCATATTCTTCAGCACGATTTCTTTCGATTTCTTGCTGTTTTATTTTCATTTCAAGTGCTTGCTGTGCTAATTCATCATTAGCACGTTTCTCTATTTCAGTTGCTTTACTTAATACCATTCTTGCTTCTAGTTGTAATTGTACAGAAGCTGCACGACATTCTAATGCTTCAGCATTCAATGCCATTAATTTAGCTCGAATGTCGACATCATCACCTTTCAGTATATGATAATTAAAAAGATTTAAAATAATATGAAAAAAAGAAAACTAATACTACCTGATTGTTGTTGTTGTTCAAGTTCTATTTTTTGTTCACTATTAGCACGTAAAATATCATTAATATCAGCTAATGATATTTCAAATTGTTGTAATTGTTTTAAAATTTGTTGTTGAAATTTTTCAGTTTCTTTCAATGAATCTCTTGATACAGTTATTATTGAACATAATTTATTCATATTATAATCACGTAGAATTTTAATTTGTCGAAGATCAGTTATTTCACGACATAGATCATCTAATGGTTTATCAAGCAATGTTGTTGTTGTCATCATGTATTTTTTATTTTTGAAAAACAACTAAAATGTGAACAATATATAAAATACACTTCTTTTTTGTCATACTCGAAAGTACATACATACTCAATATAATGAAATTGAGATGTTGTTGCGACAACAATAATGCCGACAGTGTCTTGTATTTTTTTTCTTATTGTTTCTATGATGGAAATGAATAATGATTGTTTTTTTTTGAATAAAGAAAAATTTTATTGAGGAAAAAAAAAAAGAGGGAAGACATAGTGCTGAAGCCTTTTTTCTTTTTCTTTTTCTTTTTTTTCGTGTGTGTCTGATTTGCAAATAAGCTAGAATATGTCAATATAGGATCCATTGCAATCATCCGAACAATACGTGTCATATATATGGCACCTTAAGTGTGAAACCTAGAAACAGTAAAGAAATTCTGTTGTTAAGATAATCTTATAAAAACAACAATAAACACGATTGATTCAAAGCAAATAAATATTTCGTTGTTTTTTTTATAGTAATCGAGTACAAGAATTAAATATTGAGATTAATTTTTTTTTTTTTTTTTTTTCTAAATTCTTAAAAGAGAACAATTTTAAAAATGTACATTAAAAGTATATATGATTCGATAAGAAAAGAAATATATATATAATATTGTTGATTTATTTATTTAGTGAATATTATATTGTTGATTGTGGTGTTAATAAAGAATCTTGATGTGATTCAAATAATTTTGGTATTTGTAAAAGCATAGATATTGTACCAATAAATGTAATAATAAGAAAAAGAAATAAATGAATACGATCTAATACAAGTGAAATATATTTCCAATCATTATAAACCTTTAAAAGAGAAAAAGAAATAAATAAATTTTAATACATATTTTTTCTTGAAATATCATTTTTTTTTTTCTTACTTTCATTTCTTCTGTATCACCTTGAATTCTTTTTGATAAATATTTTATATCATTTGATATTTCTAAAAATTGTTCAATTAAATAATTCATTTCATCAGGCAAATCAACTTGATGACTTTTCATTTTTCGTAATAATATTGGAGAATTTATAGATGATATACGTTTTTGACGTGTATGAGAATTTTCATAGGGTTTATTTAAACATAAACATGTTGGTAATGTATGTAAAAAAATAATTTTCATCCAATATGGTACAGGTGTTAATATTGATGTACGATTATGATTTAAATATAATGATAAAACTGATAAAAATACTGTTAAAAGATTCATTATAAATGTAAACATTAAATATTTCGATATTAATGGAATACTTAATGATGTTGATGGAAGAATTTTTGATATAAGTAACATAAAAAATACTAAAGAAACAAGTATTGATGTACAAAGCATCATTTTTTCTGCAGCATCACTTGGTAAACAAAATAATGTGATACTTAAAAGTGAAATCATCATTGTTGGTAAAATTAAATTTATTGTATAAAATAAAGATTTACGTCGAATGACTAAAATAAAAGAAAGAAAAAAAAAAATTAATGAATAAAAATAATAATTAATTTACTCATAAAAAACACCATTTCAGATCGACTTTCATAAGGTGGATCAGGTGATTGAATGGTACGAATTTCAGCTGGAGCATCGATTAATGTCCATATACCCGATGGAACATAATCGGATAATTCCATTGAATTAGCTGTTGCATACCAACCTGAGAAAATCATATCATTAGATTATTGAATTAATAAGAACGATAAAACGAACCAAAACGAACTTGAGAAGCACTGCGACCACTTGTACCAAATCTTAATTCACATTTTTGTTCATCTATAAAAAAATATCCACAAAATTCAAAAGTACTATTAAAAAAATAATATTCACTGTACCAAATGGAAAATATTCAACATTGATTGTCTAGAAAAATACAAAAGAAAATTTCAATTTTATTTATGAAATACAATAAACTTACACAAGTCAATTTATAAATCGCTGGTGGTATCCATTGAATATGTCCATCTGAAGAAATGACTGTATTTGATTTATAACTTGCTTCATAATTACCTAAGAATTAATCTATTGGATATCTCAAGAAAAAAAAAATTTTTTTCTAAATATTTTACCATCGCCATTACTAAATAAAACAAAATTACTAAACAAAAAAAAAAACAAATGTTTAAATTCTTACTTGAAAAGAACTAAATCCGGTGTCCAAACTTGTTCCGGTGGTACACGAATACTATCAAGACGACCTAAATATTCAATAGATCAATATGTTTTGTTTTGTTTTTTCATAGATTTAAACAAACCAAATCGATCAGGATTCCATTTCATTTGATAATCATACCAACGAAGTTGTAACCATACATTAACTTTAACAATTTGTTCTTTTTCATAAACATTTATTATTTGAGCTAATGCTAAACCAAAATAAACATCTAATGGTTCACTTGCATTATAAATAGGTGTTATAAGTGCATTATATTGAGATTGTCTACCAAATAAAATATTCATTAAATTTTCTTCTTGTACATTTACTCCTACATAGATAAATATTAATAGATATTTATTTCAATATACATTAATAGAATTATTATTTTACCATTAATTTTAATAAATATAAAATTAAATATGAAAAAATATATTAAAAAAACCATTGTTTAATTGGATAGCAGGGAAACGAATAAAGATGAATATTTAGTAGTTGAAATGCAATAAGGAAACAAAGAAAATGAGTAAGTCGTTTCTCTTTCTTTCTTCTTTCTTCTATTCCTTCCGTCTCAATGATAATTTTACGTGACATGATGCAAAAAAAATTTCATAGTCTACTTCCTTATCAATAGTCGTTTGAATCAGCATGCGCGACAACTTTATTATTGTTATCATTGTGTCATTCACGTACATACATATTGATCATTTAAATAACAACGATTGACAAGAAGAGAAAAGAAATAATAGAAGGACGTTCGCTTGGCAGAAAACTTCTGAATACAAGTATCTCGGTATATTTGTAATTGTCTATTTGTGGAACGAGAAACAGCGGGCTTAATATTTGCATGATTGAAGTGAGCGCAAGAAATTATGGTAATAAGAAAACGACGACTAACCCGATTAGAAGGCAATTAATAAGAGATAGAAAGATAGATAGAGCGAGACAGAGAGAGCGAGAGGGGGGAAAAGAGCATGGCAATCAGTCAATTCATTATGTAAAAAAAAATTTTTGATCGTTCGCAATATTCAACAAAAAAATAAAAACAAAACTTGTAAGTGATTGATTTTATTTATTTCCGAAAAAAAAAAACAAATATTATATAAGCACCAAAAACAAGAACAGAAAAGAAAATTAACTAAGTAGTACCAAATGTAGGATCCCAATTTTTCAGTATAGCAGTTTGATCGACTACATTTAAAATATATGGTGCATTGAATAAAATTGATAATGTACCAAAAGTTGTAACAGCAAAAAATATATATAATTGTAATCGATCGATCACAGTTGCAATGTATTTCCAATCATCACGAATCTAAAATATACAACAACAACAAAAAAAAAAAAATAACAATGATAAAAGAAAATATATTAGATTTTGTTAAGGAAAATACTTCTTCATAATGACTTGCTGATCTCATTTGATTTGCAATAAAACTAAGATCTTCAACAGCTTCATAAACTTCTTTTGTTAGAAAAAAATCAAGTTGATTTTCTTCATCATTATCTGTTGTTGTTAATGATTGTTGACTATTCATAATTGGTGTTGTTATTGATATAACACGTGATGCTCGTATAGAATTCACTATTGTTGGTTCAATCATTTCATCATCATTTTCTCGTTCATATTTATGTGGTCTTTCCATACGAAGTACTCGTGGTAATATATCAATAAAAAGTCGTTTCATCCAATAAGGCATTTTATTAGTACGTGGTGTTCGATAATTATAATTAATAATTAGAACTGTACAAAAAATTGTTATTATATTCATAATAAATGTAAATAAAAGATATTTAGCAATTAATGGTATAACTGTAGATGTAGGTGGTAAAATTTTTGATATAAGTAATAGAAAAACGACTAATGCTAATAAAATTGATATCGATAATGTCATTTTTTCACCTGCGTCAGTTGGTAAATAGAAAACAAATATTGATAAAAATGAAATAAGCATCTTAGAACGAAAAAAAAGAAGCATTGTTCAAATTAAATATAAAAACATAAGTCAATTTTTTTACCGTTGGGATGATTAAATTAACTGTATAAAAAAGTGTTTTACGTCTTATAACAAGTTTACATACAAATTCAACACGATCATGTCTATAACTTTTTTCAAATAGAAGATTTCCTTCATCTGATGGATGTTGAATAGACATAGGTCCATCCAAAAGATCCCATGAACCACTAACAACATAATCTTTTATTGTAACATTTCGTTCTTTTTCATCATAATATGTAAAATTTAATTGATGTTGATTATATGTCCAAGAACCAAAGCGTAATTCACATACTTGTTGATCTAAATAAATAAATAAAAAAAAAAAACGTTTTTTTAATCTAATTTAATTAAATATGTATTTATTATTGATACCAAAAGGAAAAAATTTAACATCAATATAACAACTTGATTTATATATTGCAGGTGGTACCCAATTCATATCACCATTATGATAAACAACAACATGAGATTTAAATGATGCTTCATATCTTCCATCAGCATTATTAAATAAAACAATCTAAAATACAAATTAGTTTGTTTTATTTTTATTGTTTGCATATTGATATCTATACACATAACTAACATCCGGAGTCCAAACTTGATTTGGTGGTACACGTATTGATTGAATTCCACCATATTTTTCTCGTTTCCATTGCATTTGATAATCATGCCATTTCTAAAATAATGAATAGAAATATCAAATTGTATTATATCAAGTATTGTTTTCATTTCTTTTCTTTTTCTTTTTTTTTTGTGTGTGTGTTTTTACATACGACTTGTAACCAAACATTTGTTTTCAGTACTTGTTCTTTTTCAACTACACTAATTAATTGTAATAAAGCAATACTAAATGATACAGTTATTGTATCTTCTAATTTTCGTACAGGTCGTATTAATGGATTATAATTTTGAAATAATTCTTTATATAATTGTTCTTCATGATAAGAACTTTCGACGACTATGTCAGAAAAAGAAAATTTATGTTAATTTCATAATACTTGAAAAAAACAATCTACCGTCATTGATTAAGAACATTATACCAAATCGAATGAAAAATAGTCCGAATTCCATTGACATATGATAAGAATAGATCAAATCAAATATTAATAGACTTGAATGAAGAAGTTTCTTCTTTTTTTTTTTTTTTTTTTATAAGGATTATTAGTTCGATATATATATATATATATATTTATATATAAAGAGAAGATTCTAAGTGAATGTAAATGAATGATTGACTTGCATAAGCAATAGGGAAATGATGAATGAATAGAAAAGGACTTGTTTTGATAAAAATAAAAGAAAATAGTAGCGAGAAAAGAAAAGATAGAAAGAGCTTTAGACAAAATAATGTCATCAATGTTATTCTTAGTCTTTCTCTCGTTCTCTTATTGCTATGTCTCAACAGACATTAAGAAAAGGATGATAAAAGAGATGTTCTTGCAATCAAAGTGAACTAGAAAATTTATCCCAAGGGCATCTAATATCAGTAGTTGATTTTCTAATAGGAACTAGTCACACATATATTTATACGAGTTATTTGATAAGAAACACAAAAAATACAGAAACTACTATTCAAGGTAATGATTTTTGTTTTTCACAGATCATATCATCGTCTGTTTCTTTTCTCGGCTATTGAATCCTCTACGAAGAGAGTAACCTAATTTCAATCCTCAATAGTGTAAAGAGAGGACAGTTTTTTCTTACAACCGCAATAACCCATTAATAAAGCCGAACGCCTTGATTTAATCTATTCCGATCATATACGCATGCATACTCTCGTTTAACAATGAGCGGAAATCATTCGTCTCGTTCCTAATATTATTATAGCCATAAGAATGTATGTATTATATTATTCGGTAAAATCATACATAGACAAACGATGATTATCAAGAGAATCAAAAAAAATTCTATTACGTTTCACCTTTCACAGTTCGAATCTAATTAGTTTCAACTACTGATACTACCATAATATAATGAATTATATTCAATTAAAAGTTTTCTCTAATATCGACTAAGGTTAGATTAACATTCGTACTAAACAGCAGGATCTCGACTAACTTCTTTGTTACTATATAAAATAACAAGAATAATTTCTTTTCATAGAGTTTATTTATCGTTATATCATTATTATTTCTGTCCATAGATACAATTATCCAATTATAACATGCGTCATGAGATAAGCATATTTTTTTAGTTACAATCGTATATGTATGTTTTCCTTACGGTTTTAAGTTAATTCAATCTATTCATTATATATTATAGAATTGTTTGAAGATAATTTCTTTTTTTAGATTATATTTAATAATCATTTCCATGCATGAAAATGAGTATTATCATTCTAGGAATATTTTTTATTTATTTATGTTTTTTTAATAGTAAGTAGTTATAAATAGAAATAAAAATCATTTTAATCTTATATAATAAATATATAGTTACAATTGCTAATCCTGAAGCAAAACGTTTATATGAAGAATTAATTAAAGTACGTTCATATAACAAATTAATTCGACCAATAAAAAATAATAGTGAAAAATTAACTGTTTATTTGGGTCTTCGATTAACACAATTACTTGATGTTGTATGTATTATAGATTTTTTTTTTTTTTTGGTTTTGATTAGATAAATATATATTTTTTTTCTTGATAAGGATGAAAAAAATCAAATTATGACATCAAATGTTTGGTTAAAACAGGTAAGATATCAGAAAAATAAATACAACATTAAATCATTCATGAATAGGAATGGTATGATGATAAACTTCGATGGGATCCAAGCAAATATGGAGGTGTCGATGTACTATACATTCCAAGCCAACAAATCTGGCTTCCTGATATTGTTTTATATAATAAGTAACTATTCATATGTTGTTATTATTGCACTAGTTAGACTAGTTTATAATTATTGTCAATTCACGGTCATTGAGTATGATTTCTATCATATGCATTCATAGTAAAAGAATATAATAACAACAAACTATTGTCATTATTTATTGTTATAGACATACTCTCAATAAGAATATTTATTATTCTTTTTTTTTTGATAAATGTAGATAAATTTTCACAAAATTCTGCTAATGAGAGAAGTTTTTAGATTATTCATTAGTTTATTACTACAGAAATAGTTGATAATAATCCCATAAATTTGATGTTTTAATTTCAGGATAGATGCAAATCAAAAGATTTGAAACTATTTTCTTTAAAGCTTGTCTTGATGTAAAATTTCAAATTGAAATTTGAAAATCAGTTCTTCTGGGCTACGACATTGATTTAGAAAATATTATAAAAGTGCTGTCTCTTCATAGCAATAAGCTAAGGATACGAACTCTTTATATTGTATTCATAGCTTATTTGAATCTACATAATGCATATAGCCTTGACTCAAAAGCGATCTATCAGTTGGGAAAACTTCTCTTGTAAGAATACATGTAAAGAAAAAGAGCAGTTTGAGACCTAGCCTATGGTTGTTGGTCTATTGATTGTTTTAGCAATACACATCGACAGATTTGAATTATTTTATTTCAGAAAATAATTCAATAAACTGTTCTCATTGAGATTTTTATCTGTACAATGTTCGAATTTGAGATTTCAAACTTTAATTTTTTGAAGTTTCTCAGGAATATGACGGAATGCTGATAAAAAATATCATAAAAATGCAATAAACGAGAAACATGAGTCCTTTTTCGGCGTATTTATAGTTAATTAGAACCAACATAATGCATCTAATGACAACTCAAAAAAGCAAATTAACATCTGGAATATTCCCTTGTTAGTTTTATTAATATAAAAACCAGTTTTTTTTTCTTTCTTTCTTTTTTTTTTTATAGAAAAAAGATTGATCAAATGTTTTTTGAATTCTAGTGCAGATGGAAATTACGAAGTAACATTAATGACAAAAGCAACTGTTTATTATGATGGTCGTGTTATTTGGGAAGTAAGCAAATGAATAAGAAGAGAAAAAAAAAAAAGTATTAATATGATATTTATATTTCTTAGCCACCAGCAATATACAAATCAAGTTGTACAATCAATGTTGAATTTTTTCCATTTGGTTAGTTTAAATATCAATAATTCGATTTATAAAAGTCAACTATATGACAAAAATAGAAAATGTCAAACAAATAGATAACAACATACCGGGTATAAAAGTCAATAAGTTTAGTTCTAGTTCAGATCTAAAGCACTGTTAAAAACATTCTTTGATCTCAAGTGTTCTGTTCAAAAAGTTTGTTTTTTTTTTGATAGGAATTGAACTTTCTTCTATTTTTGAGAAAGACACATCCGGGTATAATAATTTTTGTTTTCTTACTGGAATGTTTTTTTCCAAAACAGGACAATCCTAAGTTTTCTTATCAGAAGATGCATCATTTGATTTTCGACATAATTCTATTAATCTTAATTTAAAATAATAGAATAGATTTGAACAGCTCTGTCGTTTGTATATATTTGCGAAAAATATATTTTAATGTATATTGATTGGGTTAAACTACATAGTATATTTTTAAAATAGCGACATTTTCTTCATTGATTGTTCATTTTTTGAAAATGACGTCCTATAAAAGCGTTGCTTATAAAAAGAGTTCAGCTGAGAGAAAGATTTGAATATAGTAAAAAAAACACCGATTTTTGTTTTAGTAACTCATATAAGTTATTGTTTCTCTATAAATATAAATTGTGATCAAGGACTTACAAACTCTGCTGAAAGAACAATTAGTGGAGACTCGAAATATAAGTGCCAAGTATCATGCACACTCCTTCATAACTTGCAAACATATTCAAAATCTTCTAATACAAGTCTTATAATAATCTATTATTTTCCAGCTCAAATATTTCTAAAAGAGAAAATGTCTTAAAGCTTTTGTCACACTTTGCATTTTATACAGAAGTTCAGGATGTGTAAACATGTTTTTTTTAGGAGCAATGGTGTGATTTCAAATAACACTAACAACAAATTTTATACTAAATTAAAGCGTATTGAAAGTTGAATTTAGCAAGACTAAATAGTTAGAGTTATGAAAATTGTTCAATGTCAAATTTCTTAAATTTTCTGAATTTGATACCGAAAAATTGTCATAATCTTTATGATTTTGATATTGATAAAACAGACTTTTGACACGATTTAATTCAGTATCATATCTGTTGTTGATTTTACTTGAAACCACATCATTACTCGCCTGGAAAAATATTTTTACACATCCTATAATGAGATTTTCATTTATTATTAATTTGAAACAATAAAACTCAATTTTATTTTTCTCTATTACGTAAGATATTCAACATTGTCAAATGAAATTTGGTTCATGGACTTATAACGGTGAACAAGTTGATCTTGTTCATATAAATCAAACAAATGGTTCAATACCTGTTTATGGAGATAATAGTAAAAAAAAAAGAAGCTCGTTATCATACTATATAGATTATGTTTTAATTATAATAATAGGTGTACCATATGCTATTGATTTAACTGATTTTTATCGTTCAGTTGAATGGGATATAATGGAAGTACCAGCACAAAGAAATGTACGAAAATATACATGTTGTCCACAAACATATACTGATATAACATTTTTAATAACAATTCGTCGTAAAACATTATTTTATACTGTTAATTTAATAATACCATGCGTTGGAATATCATTTTTAACTGTTTTAACATTTTATTTACCATCAGATTCTGGTGAAAAAGTGGCACTTTGTATATCAATATTATTATCATTAACTGTATTTTTTTTATTGTTAGCTGAACTTATTCCACCAACATCACTTGTTGTACCATTAATTGGTAAATATCTTTTATTTACAATGATATTAGTAACATTATCTATTGTTGTTACTGTTACTGTACTTAATATACATTTTCGTTCACCATTAACACATAAAATGCCACCATGGGTACGACGAGTTTTTTTACAAGTATTACCTAAACTTTTATGGATGCGTAGACCAAAAACAGTTGATCCATTACAATATCAACAATCAACATTTTATACAAATCATATGAAAAAACATTCAACAACAAAATTTATTGTACCATTACTTCATACAAAATCATATAAAAAAAATCAATTTAATAAA